TTCTGGGTCGATCTGGTTTCTGGAATGATACTCGGCGTTGTTTGCCGGCTAAGCAGTGAGTGCAGGCCTCTAGCAATTGGCCTTTCACGTCGGAGAGTAGCTCTTTCTTGGCAAGGATCTGCAATCCCTTCTCGCTCATGTGACCAAGCCTCTTGTGCCATAATTCTAGGCTTGAGTCAACGTGGGCAATATTAGCATCTCCATTGCGTACACTTCCTTGCATGACGTACAAGGAGCCTTCTTTCTTTCCTCGGGCGATGACCATACTCCCTTTGATGAGTTTCCATTTGCCTGAACCAAAGTGATTCACCATCTCGGCATCATCTAGCTTCCCAGCTGAGATAAGGTTGAGACGCATATCTGGAACATGTCTCACCTCCTTCAATATCAGCTTATATCCCGTGTCAGTCATCAAAGTGACTTCACCAATTCCAACAATTTTGCTGGTGACACGGTTTCCCATCCTGACTGTACCAAAGTCGCCACTTTGGTAGGATGAAAAAAATCCTTCATGTGGAGTAACGTGGAAGGATGCACCTGAATCAACGATCCATGAAATATCATTGTCGGCAACGTTGAGGTAGTTGGCTTCACCAATTAGGAAGACATCATCATCTTCAGTTGCTGCGACGGCCGTAATGTTCTTTTCTTCCTTCTTCTTTGGGTCAACTTGGTCTGGCTTGACATTGCCGGACTTTTGATCTCTCTTAAGAAATCGGCACTCCGGTTTCTTGTGACCGGATTTCCCGCAATAGTAACAAATTACTTTAGGGCGAGATCTGGAATGCCCACGAGGCTTATCATGGCCGCGGCTTATACTTCTACCACGGAACTCGGTTCTCCCATGATTGTCGACGATGTTGGCCTCATATTGGCTGGACGTGCCTCGTTCTTTTCTTCGAGCTTCTTCATTTAATAGGCTATCGGCTACGGCATCCATGGTGAGCTTGCCTTCCGGGGCTGAGTTACTTAGAGTAACAACCAACGTGTCCCAACTTTCTGGTAGGGAACTGAGGAGTAGAAGGGCTTGCAACTCATCATCAATCTTCATCTCAATCTTTGTCAATTGATTCACGAGCCCCTTAAAATTGTTTAAGTGCTCTATTATGCTTTGACCATCCTTATACTCCAGCTTCACCAATCGTCGCACTAGGTGAGCTTTATTACGAGGCGTCTTCTTTTGAATCATGGACTCTAGCTTCGCCCATAATTCGTGAGCATTGGTGTATGTCGACACATGCTCGAACAAACTTCTATTGATATATTTGCGGATCATGGCGACTGCTTTGCGATTTAAGAGTTCCCACTCTTTATCGCTCTTTTCCTCCGGCTTCTCCTCATTGATGACATGCTCGTACAAGTCCCTGCAATATAGGTGGTCCTCCATCATGGGCTCCCAATAGGAATAGTTCTCCGAAGTGAGTTTGAACATATCACCATCATGGGTGACGGTAGCCTCCATCTTGAAACACACGATGCCTTTGAACCAGGCTTTGATACCACTGTTGGGAAAAAGGCGTATAATAATAATGATGTGGAAGCGAAACCCTTTCTCCCTCCGTGTGTGATCAAGATTGGCAAAAAGAAAATAAGAGAAATGTAGAGACGAAGACACACGGATTTTACGTGGAAAATCCCTCGAAAGAGAAAAATCACGAAGATCTTCCACTATAATAGTAGGATTTACAACAATATTTCTTCACCGAAAATTGGTGAATCACCCTCACCTATTGGTGGATTACAACCTAGTACAAGAGGATAACAATCTCTCTCACAGAGGATCTTTCTTATCGAAAGAGGTTGTCGAAACCTTCGACCTCACCGACTCTCGTCGAATTTGTCTTTGATGTGGAATGTATACCAGATCTCACGTCACAATCCAACATGTCTCTTCATCCCCTATTTATAGAGGGCCATGAGACATCTCTTCCATGCTCTAGATTCTTCACCAATAAATAAGGTGGTCGTAAAGCATCTTTTCAAAGCATGGAGATTTGCAAAAACTCTTCGTTTTCAATGCGAGTTGGTTGCATTGGAACTACGCGGTCATCAAGTTGGTTGCATTGGAACTACGTGGTCATCAATGCATTAATTCTCCCGACTAATTAAGGAGAATCCCAACAATAATTGACCTAGTCGCTTCTCTCTATCTTTTTTCCCTCTTTTAGGAAGGGTATAGACAGACGAGTCTGCTTGGAACCACATAAATGGTCTGCCCTAGCATCTGAGCAGATTCTTCTCTTCTATTGTCATTAATTTTTTTTAATGAGTTTTCTCAACTTCGGGAGAAGTTATGATCTGTATACGAACCCATTAAATTCTGAGAAATTTCTCAGAATATCTTTCTGCATTTATCATATTGGATCTCATGATTAGGACCTTTCACCACTCTAAAAACTTTTCAATGTCGAATCGGTCACCGGCAAAAATCGAAATACTGAATCGACCCCTCGAAATAAGATAAGATTAGCGGACAGTAAGAGAGAAGAACAAGGGGGTTGGTTCTCTCCCACTTGCAGACAACTCGAGAAACCCAGGAGATGAAAAGATGATTTATGTGTCTTAAAAGATGATTTTGAAGGGGAATTCTCTCAACCCTTCCAAGCACACAAAAAAGAAAAATGCCGATGCCCAATTTGCCCAATGGTTTTGCTGGACAACCAGATTATTGGGGGCTAGTTAAGAGGACAAAAAGACTACGGGAGAGTTGTAGAAGAAGGGTTTATGTTGTCACAAGGTCTGATCCAAAAACTGAAGTTGTTGAGTGACGGGGGGCCACGTGAGTATTATGGTGGGAGAATTTGTTCAATCAGTTATAAATCTGTTGTATGGATATCGATTTAGTCCTAAACTTTTTAATTTTGCTAATTTAGCCCTAAAACCTCCGCAGGAAATTCCAATATAATCTTTATGGTCAATTTTCGCCGGAAATTGCTGATGTGGCAGTGTGCCGCGTAGTACAGCTGACGATGACCGGACCGCCACACGTTAGCGATCTCAAACGAAAATTGACAAGAAGGATTGTATTGAAATCTCGTGTAAATATTTAGGACTAAATTGACGAAATTGGAAAGTTTAAAACTGAATTAACATCCATACAATAGAGTTAGGACTGATCGGGTAATTTTTCATTATTTGGTGTAACTTTCCCGTGATAATTAAACTACAAAAATGGGATGCCACAAATTTTACAGGTGCATAGTGGACCGTTCAAGCCGTTTTGTCTCGTATGTATGTATATATGTATGTACGTATGTCAACGCAAGCCAACCGTAGAGGACAGGATAAGTGCGCTTTCTTGTATTTTCTTGTAAGGTCGTTTTATTTTAGAGCGGCCGCCAATTTGTTTTAAGGTGCGTTTGGTCGTCATTTTTGGTCACTGTTGATCGGCGTTTGGGTTCTCGGTTACGCATGGACAAGGTCCTAGCGCCGCCCCCAGATGCCCGTTCATAATATGGTATCGCGAATGCATGTATACAATTATTTTTTGTTATAAGCACAGAAGAAAATCCAACTTACAAGATAATGATATAACTGTTGTTAGTCTAAGCACACTGCACAGTAAGAAAGTCCAAATCGTCGGCTGCAAAGATGATGATGATTCCTAAGGTCCGGACTCCCCCCAGACTCCTTCAGCAATGCGGTCCGATTCCAAGAAATTTGGGGACCGAACCAAGAACAGTCAAAGAGTGACCGGGAAAGTCAAGGTGCACGTGGATAGAAATTCCCCACCACTTTGACGGTTTAATGTCGGACCAACTACGAAGGCTGCTAAGGTTTGAAACTACTCACCAGGTAAAATAAATTTGAGAATAACACAGCCTTTCAACAAATGGACCATATAATATCAAATAACCGCCCGCCATGTCATTTAATGTACCGAATTAGGTCTTCAACCTATCGATTTGATCAATTTAGTCCTAAATCTATTGCGTTTATGTCAATTCAGCCATAAATCTTTCAATTGTGCCAATTCGGTCCTAAACCTTTTGACGACTTACCAATTAGTCATTCCGGCCAATTTTGACCGTAAATCGCTGACGTGGCGGTCTAGTTAGCGCTGATCATCCCACGTGGCATATTCGGCGTTGACGTGGACAACTTTTTAAGTTTTTTGATTTTTTTCTAACCCCGGCCTGCCCAATGTTAGATAAAAAAGGAAAGAAAACAGAAAAGAGGAAAAAGAAGAAATATTTAGAAATATTTAAAAAAAATTTAAAAATTATCCACGTCAGCGCCGATCATGCCACATAGGATGACATGTCTCAGCGATTTCCTCTCAAAATTGGACGGAATAACTAAATTGATAAATCGTTAAAATGTTTATGACTGAATTGGCACAGTTGAAATGTTTATGACTAAATTGACACAAACGCAATAGGTTTAAGACTAAATTGGCCAAATTAAAAGGTTTAAAACCGAATTGGCACAAGTGCAATAGGTTCACGACTTTTTTTTGGAATTTTCTCTTACCAAGTAACGATACGGTAATTTGCTATTAGATTTAAAGAAGTCAATAATTCAATGCATGCTTCCCACTTGTTTCGGTATCCATTAGAAATTGGCGACATCACCAAAATTAATAGATCTTAATAAGATTCCCGGTAACATCTCGTATTCTTTAATCTCTAGGTAAGTTTATGGAGGAGGAGGACTGTGGTACTCTCATAGGAGCTATCGCCAGTGACTGGTTTGCTACTCTACCCGTGTCATTACCCATACGGTATTCAGTGATATGTTACCACGTAGATATTACTCTCGAGATTGATTTTATGACCCCAAGAGACGAGCGGTGCCCTTAAAATATTGTATAATTGGATCAAAATGCAATAGATTTCATCCGTTCAACTGATCTCAATGGCCCACGAGAGATCGTGTCTCTCTTTTTTGTTTTGGTCGCTAAGATCGTGTCCCTTGAAAGCCGTAGAATCAACGGTCAGGACATCCTCTGCTCTCGACTATGCAACAGTTTTCTGTACATTCATTAGCTGCAGAATTACAGCAATCTATAAGAAGACACGCACCGCATCCGAAAAACCGACACCACAACAAGCGGTTTTCATCTCCCCGCTCCCTCCTCGTTCAACCCCAAACCCACACACCATGCCGGAAACTGCGTCCTCCGGCACCGATCGAGACGACAGACCCCACGTGGCGGTCCTAGCGAACTCCGGCCTCGGCCACGTCATCCCCCTGCTCGAGTTCTCGAAACGCCTTGTCGTCGGCCACGGGTTCCGCGTCACCTTCCTCGTCGTCACCACCGTCGACCCGACCCCGGCTCAAGACCAGCTGCTGAATGCGCGGGGCCTCCCGCATGACCTCCACATGCACGGCCTCCCGGCCGTCGACACCTCCTCCATCGTCCCGGAAGACTCCCGCATCCTCACCCGCATAAGCCTCGTCGTCGAGGCGAGCATCAAGAGCCTCAAAGCCACACTCATCGAGCTGAACTACCCGAGGGCGCTAGTCGTAGACGTGTTCTGCACTCAAGCCTTCGGCGTGGCAAGCGAGCTCGGCATCCCGACCTACTCGTTCTTCACGATGTCGGCCACGATGCTCGCGTTCTCGTTGTACCTGCCGACGCTCGACCGCGAGGTGACCGGTGAACTGGTGGACCTTCCCGAGCCGGTCCGGGTCCCTGGATGCCCGCCGGTCCGACCGGAGGACCTGCTGGACCAGGCGAAGGACCGTAAAAACGAGGAGTACCGGTGGTTGCTGTACCACTTCAGCCGGTTGCCGATGGCGGCCGGGATCTTCCTGAACACGTGGGAGGCCCTCGAGCCGGGTTCGCTCCGGACGCTGAGGGAGGACTCCTTCTATAGGAATGTGCCGGTCCCGCCGGTCCACGCGATCGGGCCGCTCGTGCACGAGGACGGCGATGCGGAGGGGCTGCGCTCGACAGACGCCGAGTGCCTCGCGTGGCTGGACCGGCAGCCGGGAGAGTCGGTTGTGCTGGTGTCGCTGGGAAGCGGCGGGACGCTGACGAGGGAGCAGCAGGCGGAGATGGCCTGGGGTCTGGAGCTGAGCCAGCAGAGGTTCTTGTGGATCGTACGGAAGCCCGCGGATGCCTCTGCCTCGGGTAAGACCAAGAAACTCCCTAGCCTTAGTGAGATCGTGCGTACGTTAGATTTTCTGCTACTTTCCATTTTTTCTTTGTCCGCTTTTACAATTGCCGAAATTCCTCGACTTGTTATTATTTGCTTTATCAATACGTTGCATAAAGGGGTAAATCTCGACAGAAAAGAAAATAATGATGTGACAAGATGAAAACAAAAGGGGTTTTTGTTAATGATGTTGGGAAAACTCAATTCCCGATCCTCACGTTTGAAACATATTCGGAACGAATTCGATCAATGCGGAAAACGTGCCCAAGGATCGTCAACTTGTATCACCGATCGTACAGGTATATCACACAACGAACATACCCGGTATTGTCACAGATTAAGTGCCACTTTGCGCTTGAGAGTTCTTCGAATGTCTTTCGTACTCACGTGCGTTCCGAAGCAAAAACAGAGAATGCGTTGTATCGAAGGAGTGTGTTTGCACATATGAAAATCACTACTGTTTTCCAAAGGGTGCCTTCTATTATAGATAGGCAAATAACTACCTCGTGGGCCCTTGTGGCTCACGGGCCGGGTTTGGCCCATCTTGGGCGGTCCACCCAATATGTCTTACATCTCCCACTCGCCCACGATGGGCTAAACACAACTCTCTTCCTTGCAAAGTTCATATTGGCAAATAATCCGTGCGACCAGCATACTACGAGAGCTCGTTGTTATACATCTGTTAGGAATATATAACAGCTCAAATTTGGGCATTATCCAGAGCAGAATTAGTATGCAGTTCCCTAGATCAATCAGTCACAATTTTCATCTCTCTTGATCTCTTTTAGTATCTCGTATATTGTATTCATAACTATGATTTACTCAAAATCATAATTGGTCGACCTGTGAATACAAATATAGAATGTGACATCATAAATTAAATTGATCTTCCTCTATCCTTAAACCTCTCCATTTCAGTCCAACTCGCTTTTCTAGAAATGCCCCGTTAGACCGAATTATCATGATCATCGGCAACATCCTAAGATAGCAAACACTGAATAGAAATTTTGAGAATAAGTAAGAGTCGTGAGGGCACTTTAATTGAGAAGAACTATTTTCTTCAAGAGTCTCACACGACTTAAAAATTGAGATCACAAATTTTTGCCAACTCTTATCGGTCGTCCCATGCATACGTAATATGAAATACGTATTACGGTATTCTCTCCTTTTCCCATAGAGCGTATGTCTTTACTCTCAATACCGTACAGATGATAGTTTAGACATACTCAATGTCTAACTTGAGTTCACCAATCTACTCTATTCATAAGCATCTATCAGAACTCACATCTGGCATTAAAGACAGGTAAAGTGAAATATGTGGGTCATTTCACTTTCGGACATAATAATCCATATGTCCTCATCTTAACATTTTGTTAAGGCGACGTCCATGCTTCAAGCTCGAGCTCTCAATTATCACCTAGATAACAAGCTTAAAACTGTCTCATCTCTATTCATCACACAGTGAGTAGAGGCGATTACCCGTGTGAGTGGGCTAATCTCTCATCTGTCCGACATAACTTTTCAATATAATGCACTCAGCATCGACATTCACAAACGTCATACAAACTTATAGGCATTGATAATAACAAACTTCATTAATAGTGAATATTCTGGGAAAATTACAATATTCAGTACATCATATTCTACACAGTCCTAGAGATCTCACATGACCATGGAAAACTTCTCTAGGAATCGGCTTCGTCATAGGATCTGCTATCATCCTTTGTGTAGATATGTACTTCACGTTCACTTCCTTTCGTGCAACCATGTCCTTGACATAGTTATACTTGATATCTATATGTTTGGTCTTTCCATGGTACTTGGGATCCTTAGTGTACGCTATTGCTGCTTGGCTATCACAATAGACCAATACTGGGTTTGCAGCATTCTCAGTAACACCTAAGTGATCCAAAAATCTTCTAAGCCAAACAGCTTCTTGTGCCGCTGCTGATAGAGCCACGAACTCGGTTTCCATTGTAGATAAGGCTACACACTGTTGTTTCTTACTGCTCCAAGATATGGCGCCATTATTCAGTAAGAACACGTATCCAGAAGTAGATTTCCTTTCTTTTAAATCTCCTCCCCAGTCAGCATCAGTATAGCCTTCAAGGTGTAGATCACTTCCTTGATAAGTCAGCGCATAGTCGGCACTTCCCTTTAGATATCTCAGGATTCTTTTGACGGCGATCCAATGTGCTTGACCTGGATTGGATTGGTATCTACTTACCATTCCAACTGCATAACAAATATCAGGTCTTGTACACATCATAGCGTACATCAAGCTTCCGACAGCACTAGCATATGGAACTTGTTCCATTTGCTCCTTTTCTTGTGAAGTCTTAGGACACATTCTGTCGCTTAATGCTTCGCCCTTTGCAATAGGAGTATCTATTGGTTTACAGTCTTGCATACGAAATCGCTCAAGGATTTTATTCACATACGTCTCTTGTGAAAGGGATAAGGATTTCTTTGAGCGATCTCTCGAAATCTTAACTCCAAGAATGTATGCAGCTTCACCCATATCTTTCATCTCAAAATTGGAAGATAACCAATTCTTGACTGTATTAACCAACTCCATACTGCTTCCGGCAATTAGTATATCATCAACATATAATGACAAGATCACAAATTGATCTTTGGATCTTTTGATATATACACAATTGTCTTCACTAATCATTACAAAATCACATGCCATTATGGCATTGTGAAAACGTATATACCATTGTCTCGAAGATTGCTTAAGGCCATATATCGACCTCAATAGTCGACACATTTTGTGCTCCTGGCCTTTTGTAATGAAACCAACAGGTTGTTCCATATAAATTTCTTCCTCTAATTCTCCATTGAGGAATGCAGTCTTTACATCCATTTGATGTAATTCAAGATCCATACTAGTTACTATTGCCAGAATAAGGCGAATAGAGGTAAATCTAACCACAGGGGAAAAAGTTTCTTCAAAGTCAACTCCTTCCTGTTGATTATATCCTTTCGCCACAAGGCGAGCCTTATACCTCTCTTTTGAGCCATCAGCCTTACGCTTTATTTTGAGAACCCACTTGTTCCCAATGGCTTTGCGTCCTTTTGGAAGGTCAACCAATTCCCAAACTTGGTTTGATCTTAATGACTCCATTTCCTCTTCCATTGCATGTATCCATTCTTCCTTATCAGGGCACTTTAGAGCATCGTTCACATTCTTCGGCTCATCTTCATCTTGTGGGGCGATCATGAAAGCTTCTCCTTCAATGTCAAAACGTCGACGGGGAATCCTATTACGACTTGACTGTCGTATGGAATGCTGTACTCCTGATGATTCACCCCGTTCCATTGCGCTCCCACTCGAATGAGATAATGGTGGTGTCGTCTCTTTAAGTGGTTGCAATTGAGACTGGTTGCATTCAACTCTCCATTTGTCACAATGCTCCCACTAACTTCACTATCACGATCCACAGATTCGTATAGTGAGTAATCACCACCTACTTCGCCCTTTTTAGGAAATTCATTCTCTAAGAATGTGACATCCCGTGATTCAAATTCAATTATACTTCCGCTTTCTTGCTCACCTATGAATACATATCCTTTTGAGTGCTCCGAGTATCTTATAAAAATACTCTTTTTGCCTCTTGGGCCTAATTTTCCATACTTGTGAGAAGATTCACGAGTATAGGCAGCACAACCCCAAGGTTTTAGAAAGCTTAAATCAGGCTTTCTGCCTGTCCATAACTCATATGGAGTAGAAGCAAGCGATTTAGAAGGCACACGGTTAAGTATGTAAGAGCGGATCAACAAAGCATCACCCCAAAAGGTGATTGGCAAGTTAGCATGTGCCATCATTGATCTAACCATTTCCATTAAGGTTCTGTTTCTCCTTTCCGCAACACCATTTTGTTGAGGAGTATATGGAATAGTCAGTTGTCTTTCTATTCCCTTTTCATCACATAAATTTCTGAACTGATCAGACAGATATTCTCGACCTCGATCGGATCTTAATGCTTTTATTTTCTTGTCTAATTGATTTTCCACTAAGGTCATAAATCTTTTAAAGCAATTTAAAGCTTCAGACTTATGAGAAATCAAATCGACATGTCCGAATCGAGTATAATCATCAATGAATGTGATGAAATAAACAGACCCGTGCCTTGCTTTTACATTCATTGGACCACAGATGTCAGTATGGATTAATTGCAAAGGAAATTCAGCTCTTGTTCCTTTTCCAAATGGTTTCCGTGTTGTTTTTCCTTCTAGGCAATGCTCACATATGGGCAAATCAACCTTTTTAATATTGCCCAATAAGCCATCTTTAGCCAATCTATTCATTCTTTGTTGGCCAATATGACCAAGTCTAGCATGCCACACGTTCACATCATTTTCATAAGAATCAGATGATGTAAATAAGGAATAACTAACATTAACTTCACAATAGTCAACATCTAATACAATGAAACCATCTAAGAAATATCCGGAACTATAATAACTTGTATCTAAAGACAAGTCTACACCATTTTTATGGAAGTTTACATTAAAACCAAGTCTAACTAAAACCAACACTGAAACTAAGTTCCGACGAATCTCTGGAGCAAATAGCACATCATGTAGGAACAACGTGCGTCCACCGCGCATAAGTAGTTGACAGGTGCCAATGCCTCTGACCTCCACTCTTGAATTGTTCCCCACGTATATCCACTTCGTTCCTTGTGGAACTCGTCGGAACTCCACGAAAGCTCCTCTGTCCTTCGCTACATGGTCTGTGGCTCCCGAGTCTACAGTCCACAAAGGATTAGATTCGGTTAGAAACACTGAACTAGACACATAAGTAGCATTTTCATGAATGCTAAGGGTTTCTACCTTCTTTGGTTCGCCACAGTCGCGAGCAAAGTGACCCTTCTTGCCACAGTTGAAACATTTCACTCTTGAAATGTTCTTCTTGAAAGGACGCTTTCCTTTCTCCCGTTGGTTGAGCCTCGGCTTCTTGCCTGAAGGACTTGGCCCCTTGCCTTTCCACTTCTTTGACCCAGCAGGGTGTTTCCTCTTGGAGCCCGAAACTCCATGCGAGCTAAAACCAGCAAAGTAAATATCAGTTTCTGGCTTAGCCGCCATGAGGCGATCCTCTTCCAGCTCAAGATGCCGCATAGCATCCTCGAAGGTCTTGATACCCTCATTGTGGGTCAAATGGATCTTCATGTGCTCCCAGCTTTAAGGCAAAGAGCGGATTCGCCGCACCTGCTTGTTCATCGGTGAGTATGTGCCCGGCATCCTTTAGCTCACTAATCATATTCGACATCCGCCTCAAATGTTGTTTCATGGTCTTTCCATGAGACATCTTATATGAGTCGAAACGGATAATGAGTTGTCTTAGTTTGGTCACAGAAGTTCGACCAAATCTTGATGCCAGTGCAGCCCACATGTCTTTGGCGCTCTGGAAACGTCCGAACTCTCGCATGATGTCATTGTCCATGCTGCTTAGCAACGTAATGCGAGCAAGAGAGTTCTTTCTTTTCCAAACAGCAAAGGCATCTTTGTCCCTCTTGTGTTGGGCGCTTGTCCCATCCTCGGGTTCTTCCATAATCGGTTTAGAGCTTCGAGTGCCTCTTGCTCTTCCAAAGACATATTGAATCTTGAGACTCCAAATCTCATAATTGTCACCATTCAATTTTTCTCCCTTATTCAGTTCAGCCACTATGTTCTTAGTTGCTGAAGCCATCGTATCTAAACATTTCAGACACATACGCACGAGTTATTAAAGCCTATCTAAATGCTTCATCAGCATCATGATTACATAAACTAATCATATTAATGAATAGTTTCACAAAAGGTCTTAGAGTCGAAAGTTCACTATGTTCCCAATCATCGTCTAAAAAACCCAATTTGAAATTACCATTAATATAATCATTTATGTAAAGAAATTGGTTCTTCAAAAGTTATACAAACTTTGAAGAACTTCCCACATATAACATAACATGTGATATGGCAATATAAAATGAGAAATCACAAAAAAATTCATAGCCATATATATATATTTCATAACACATTCACAAATATTTTAAGAACATGTAATAACAACTTGAAACATATACAGAATTGATTCCTAATCCCAAAAGAACAACATCAAGTGTACCAATCTAACACATAGACAGGAAAGGACTCATAAAATTCTTTAGAAAGTTTTATTTTCTTCGGAACATAAACAGAGGCTCCCGGAAAACCCCTAGATCCGAGCCATGATTTGCGCCTCGACCCATTCAATGCAAGGGTTGATGTTCTTCTTGCCCCAACCCTTATGTATTCTTGCACAAAATTCTCCACAAGCATCTTATAGCTTGGACCATTTAAGGTTTCTTTAACCTTATCAATCATTCTTCCCAACTCATCAGGCATAGTGCATTTTAGTGCTCCAACCATTACATATTCCGGCATTACAAAACCGTTCCAAATGATATCCTGTATCATTTTGTTGACCTTGATGATGTGTGTCATCATATCATCTTTAGCGTCCCATCGATAAAGAGCTAGCTTGACTCTTAGGTTTTCAAGCTTCTTCTTTTGAGCTGCCGTTCTGGGTATTATCGGAGTGCGTCTCAAATGTACCATTGTTCCTGCAACGAATGCAGAACGAAGGATTACTTATAATCCATGATACATTAAGATAAGGAATGCTTATTCATATACATATGATCTAGCACTTGTATTTCAAAAAACTATAGAGAAATACTAGAGAAAATGCCAAAGAATATACCCCTAAGTACGTGTACATAGGGTTTATCGTGCATTTTCACATTCATAAGTGCAGTAAAAGTGTGATATGAATACACCATAACGTAGATCATTTCGATACGAGCACGTCGATACCAAGAACGCCCAAATCGGAGTTCAAATGAGCTTGAACGGACCGAAAGAAAAAACTGGGTCATTCTGCCGGTTTGACCGGTCCGGTTGGACCGGTTTGACCGTTCCGACCGTTGACCGGTCAACGGTCAACCGGGTCGGTCAACGGTCAACCGGGTCGGGTCAACAGTCAACGGGTCGGGTCACCGGGTCGGGTCAACGATCAACGGGTCGGGTCAACCAGGTCAACAGGGTCGGGTCACCGGTCAACCGGGTCGGGTCACCAGTCAACCGGGTCGGGGGTCTCGGGTCCGCTTCTGATGACGTCACGATGACGTCATCATCGGCGGTTAGCGGCGACCGACGCGCCGTTTCGCACGGCCGCGCGTGGTACGCACGCGCCGTCGCGCGCACGGGCCTTGCCGGCGCGTGAGGGCGCGTGCGGCGTCCTCCGGCGACGTGCCGCCCATCATTTTGCTCGTCTCGACGAGTACTTTCTGTTTATACAATAAAATTTAAGTTTTGACGAAAAAAAAAAATCGAAACATGTATGAACAGTTCGGCGACGCGACGAAAACGAACCAAAAACAAGGCCGAAACGAAAAAACAAGCAGTATACACTTCAATGGAAGAGACGGTACACATGCATGATCGGGAAACAAGTAAACGGGCTCTGATACCAATGTTGGGAAAACTCAATTCCCGATCCTCACGTTTGAAACATATTCGGAACGAATTCGATCAATGCGGAAAACGTGCCCAAGGATCGTCAACTTGTATCACCGATCGTACAGGTATATCACACAACGAACATACCCGGTATTGTCACAGATTAAGTGCCACTTTGCGCTTGAGAGTTCTTCGAATGTCTTTCGTACTCACGTGCGTTCCGAAGCAAAAACAGAGAATGCGTTGTATCGAAGGAGTGTGTTTGCACATATGAAAATCACTACTGTTTTCCAAGGGGTGCCTTCTATTATAGATAGGCAAATAACTATCTCGTGGGCCCTTGTGGCTCACGGGCCGGGTTTGGCCCATCTTGGGCGGTCCACCCAATATGTCTTACAGACTACCGACTATCTTTTTCTGAAAGTTAGATCGAATTAATATCATACATCTCAAGCTCTACGCATCAAGTAAGGCACGAGTTGACGTCTAGATTTCTTGGAGTGGGAAAAGATTGTTTGATGAGGGTCGCCGGTGACTCTCGCCAGCACATAAAACAAAACGCAAAGAAAAAAAAGGAAAAGAAAAATATGAAATATAAAATATAAAAAAAAATTATCAACATCAGCGCCGGCAGTACCACGTAAGACGATTATCGTCTATGTCAGCGATTTCCGATCAAAATTGGCTGGATGGACTGAATTGACAACTTGTCAAAAAGTTTATGGCTCAATTGACAAAATCGAAAGATTTAGAGCTGAATTGGCTAAAATACAATAGGTTTGGGACTTTTTCGACAATTTTTCCTCACGTCATTTGTACTAGGTGATTGTTGAATCAAACTGGTATGGTGCCTATCATCTACAATGACGGTACTTTTAAATGATCCATTAAGATGAGGATCCTTTAATCTCAATATGTGCATCTATTGACCATTCTTTTCATCACGTCACGAGGCACGTCCATCTTGATTTCACCACGAAAGAACCCAGGAATATGTGTGTGGGCGTGCGTGTGGAGTGCAAACCATTATACGAGTGGGTCTCAGAAACGTAGTGCTTTGAAACACTAGCACTTTGTCTCAGCTGCATTCTTCAATGTGGGGAGCGACGAGGAAGACGATCCGACCAAGTATCTACCGCAAGGTTTTCTGGAGAAGACTCGAGAGGTAGGCATGCTGGTGCCCTCTTGGGCTGCCCAGGTGGCCATACTGAGCCACCCCTCGATCGGAGCATTCCTATCGCATTGCGGCTGGAACTCATCCGTCGAGAGCTTGGCTAGAGGTGTGCCGATGATCGCCTGGCCACTCTATGCCGAGCAAAGAACGAACGCAGCGATGCTGGCGGAAGATGTCGACGTCGCCATCAGGCCGTCGGTCGAGGAGGGAAGGAAGGTGGTGGGAAGGAAGGAGATCGAGAGGGTGGTGAGGGCCGTGATGAGGGGAGAAGAAGGGAAGAGAATGAGACGTAGGGCTCGAGAGATTAGAGATAGCTCGGTCGAGAGCTTGAGTCATGGCGGTTCGTCTGATGCATCGCTGGCTGTTGTGTGTGAAGATTGGAAGACGAAGTCTAGCTGATGCGAGGAAGAGCTCTATGTGGATCGTGCTTCATAGTTTGGATTTGTGTTCTTCTACATAACTTTGGATGTCATATCCTTTATGGACGAGAGACAATAAGATTTCGTGTTCGAGAGTCGTAATAATGAGATTTTATTCTTAATTGAAAAAACAAAAGGCCGTCTCTGCACATGTTACTTCGCCTTGCATCCTTTATTTTCTAAAAGTCCTCACTTTTACATCCAAATAATATTAAGCTCCAAATTGACCACAAAGTCTTAACACCTCAAACATTATAGTCACTCATCCACTGGGCACGCGGCCTAGGGGCAAGAGAATTGGATGAGGGTGGAAACGTTTAGTTTCAGGTATAGGGTTCGATTTTTATGATTTGTAAAGTGCACATTGAAAGTTTGAGAGAGAGAGAGAGAGAGAGAGAGAGAGAGAGAGAGAGAGAGAGAGAGAGAGAGAGTAGGACATACCAAAAAAACACACTATAGTCACTCATCATCAACCACATATGGTTGCTGCTGGCCATTGCTATTTAACAATGAACGAAGGTGCGTTTGGGAACACATTCTCAAAGTTCTTTGGACTCTAGAAGCTTTAGGAAAGAGAGGTATTAGTCTCGCATTATATTCAAACAAACTGGTTTACTTCTAGGAGGCTCCCTTGCCTTCGAAGCGTTACAAACCGTGCCTTATAAAGGCATAAAGGAGAAGAACAGAGAAACTTACATCAATACTGTGACATATGGCAAAAGCACCGATGAAACAACATATGGCTGACGATCACCAATAATTCTAGTCATATAGCCGACAAGCACCGATGATGCAACATATGACTAACAAGCACCGATGATTCTATTCATCGCTGTCTGATGATGGAGTGGAGCAACCACCCTCATGCATCTTTTCTTGGCGTCTGATAATACCTTCCCATTCCATTTCTTTCCTTCGTTCTTCAAAGCTCTTTTGATCAGGTATGGTCCTTGAAATATGTTGGAGAATCTCAAACACTTCGTGAGAAACAAACATCGGTAAACAACTGGTTCTGTGGGAAGGGGGAGCACATTCGCTAGTATTGTTCATTACACACGCGATAATCGACTACGAATTTTCGCAAATTATAATTCCAATTGGAATAATTTCGAAGACGAAATCAAAAAAGCCTATATAGATAAATAGCATTCACCTAGTTGTACCAGCCGAGAATATTTGATTTACCTACATATGGCTAAAACAAAACATGAGGGCCATGCATGCTTTGAGAAAGTGACTTTTGAAATACGTTGGTGCAAAGTGCAAATCCAACAATGACCCAATCACGCTAATCTATTGTTATGATTACGGTGATAATTGTAGTTTTTCTCCTCGGTCGAGGTGAACTTAATATCGCATGATTGTTCTCCTTTCTTAGGCTAAGTCAGAATCCCTAGTTCCTATCTCTTTCTAATTAAATAAAATATGCAATTTGAAAGACATTTAACACCCAAAATACAAGTTGTATGAAGCATTCAATTGGATGGACTTGAATGGCGTCTCTAATTGCATATTTGTGAGAAAATATTTGTGCTTTTCCGTCTCTGAATCACATTTTTTAATTAACCATGACTTTTGTTGTGTCTAATCAAATCTTTGAAATTTGCATAAATTTTCTAATCCGGACCCTCAGACACTAATTTCGGTTAATTTGAGCTAATGTGTGGCTATTGGACCATGCTGGAGGAAGGCGTGGAGAAAGATTGTGCCTCCGTAAAACCCATCACGAGAAATGATAGGAAATGTTGGCCTATTTGGATAAGCTACCGTGGAAAATTCTGCGTCCATGGAAAATTTTGCGTCAAGAAAAGTTTGACAGCCGCGTCAACTCGTATTGGCCGAAATTGGTGCCCAATAGATTTGAATAATCTATTTATGCAAGTTTGAGGAGTTGTGGCTTTGAAGTGTACTCCTTGCTAGCATTGGGTCAACCGATTGAATTGGATCTATTTGACTCATCCTAATATATATCATCAGAGCACTTGAATGTTGAGCCACACTTTAGTCCGATACAAATCTGCAAATAAGTTAGCGTGGCGCCGGCATATCACATTTCAAAATAAATATGAGAAGTAGAGGACTGCGTCTATATATTTCCTCGACATTTCTAATCGTAACCAACATCCAAATTTTAGTTTACCGATGGATGTGCAGTATTAAGTGTCAAGGAAGATGGTGGGTAGCCAACACAAGCCATTGCTTTTCATGGGCTTTGTCTCTCTTTCTCATGTGGGCTCTGATGGTATTTATCCGAAACAGAATCAGAACAATCACACAGATAATAGAAAAATTGACACATTAGTTTATCCAGATTTACCCCAGAATAGGGCTACGTCCTGCAAAGGGATTGTACTATGATATTTAGGTTTACAACCACAACCACTCGTTATAATGATTTCTCATACGAGTACAATATATAGGCTTAAAATGAGCCAAAAGCCCAAGCCTATCCGAATCCTTTTGATCCCACAACAAACGGGTCAGTTACTCACGTGGGCATGTCTAGTATGAGAAACAAGGGTCTCCGAAGCATTCGTCAACTCCAATAGGCTCTTGCTTTGTTGGCCCATTAGTTGTTTCCGAGGTTTTGCTGGTTGTGTTTTTGCTTGGGACAGTTTTGATGCGAAGCTCGATTGGCTGAGAGCGAGAGGCCAAGTATGAAGACGCGCCCCCCCCCGGGAAATGCTGTAAAGTAGAGTAAAACTTCAAGACTCTGGTGTCTTGTAAAGTTGAAGATATGCTTAAGACTAGTGTCTGGCTCTTATATGGTAGAAATAAGGTCAAATCACTTTTACCTTTCTCGGGCTTAAAAGTAGAGTGTGATTTAGTTCGTGAGTTAAGATGCCCTCCTTATGTGCGTCCAAGCTTCTTTTTTCTCCACTCTAGTTTTCCCATCTTCCACAATATTGAACCTTCAGCTTACTTTGTGGCTAGTGCTTGAAAAATTTGACCAGTACTTCGGTGTTATGATTGTCCTTTCTTAAGTATATTTAAGCAGATACTGTGGTTGCACCTTTTCCTTTTCAACAGAAAGCTTCAAGAGGATCTGACGGATGAAATGGATGGATTGGCAAGGCAACTGAATGAGAGTAGCCTCGTGATGAGCCGGTCCCCTGCAAAATACAGAAAAAGTAAATCTTGATAGCCGTGTGAGGTGTCTTTTAATTTTTCTTTATCTTGATTCCTTTCGTAATGGCAACCCCAGGATGTAACTTGAGCAATCTACTTCAATCTTGCCGAGTCTGTTGCAAAACGGCTGCTTTAATCAGGACATTTCCCTGGGCAGTGGCTATTCCATCCGACTCAACAACGTACTCAGTCTGACGAGATCCTCATGGGTTGCATTGCAGATACTTGATTCTACGAGAAAGCTGTTGAGCACAGCTTGGCGAGCACAAATCGGGTTAGTGTTCGAGCAACGGAGATATATTCAGAAAGCTCCAAGACTACACATGCTTTACTTGGCTTCCGATCTCCGTGATGACATGTATCTTTATTATGGTTGCGCTTTTGATTCGTGTCACTTGAGACGAACCTACTTCAAGTTTTGTCAGTTGAGCTGTAGGACTCCCATCCTGTGATGTTGTCGAAAACGTGACAGGGTAAATATGTGTAGCTTAAACGTTCTTTGCCAATTGACTTGTGATTGAGCTCTTTTAAGGTTCTTTAGACTGAGATAAACAGTGCTTATGACACCCGCATTTCTGATGCGCTATCCATTGTGAACACATTTGACCTAAACTTTTTCTTGTGTCATAAAAAACCTCAAACTTGTACCTGCGCGACACATTTATCCTCCATAAAGATTCAGTTAGTTGATTTTTCAGCAAAAACGACGTATTTTTTTGTTTCACTTAAGCCGTGTAGGCGCCATTGTCAACATAGTTTGCCTTCCACCGTGCATGAAGACAGATTTTTAATGCTGCTCATTGATAGAATGTCGACGCTGGGTAAATGTGTCGCACAGATACAAATTTGAGATTTTTGATGTCACAAAAAAAAGTTTAAGATAAATGTGTCATAATAGGCATAGTTCGGAGATTTTGGAGCCTTTTTCCCTTCTTTTGAATTAGAGCAGGGATTGTACCTTCTCTGAGTGCCTTGTAATTAGGGAATGTCTTGATTTTTTTTTGTTTGGCGTACTCTAACTCTTCACTCACTCTCAGACTTTTGCCTTGTCTCTTTATAGAGCGTGAGAGTCAAAATCCATATCTAAAATTAAACGTCCTCGTCTCTATAACCCTATGTATACAAGGCCCGCGAGCCCCGTCACCTCAGCCCCCACCAAAGGGGTCGGAGGTTCAGAACTCCTCTATACCAAAGCAAGATACACGTACTGCTGTCGCAAGCGAGTTTGGACTCATGACATTCCATCTAAAAATAAGAGCTCACACCACAAGGTCACCTCCACCGTAAGAGATTCAATTCCCAAATGTACCTAGATGCAATGCAATCAGATCCCATCCTCTTCCCAAGAAATAAAATCAAATTAGCTTGGTTTAGGTACACCTTCGGCGTTCGAATCATACTAAATCGAATCGCGTTTAACTTCGACCATCCAACGTTGTGATTTCAATGAATCAATCCGTCTTAACGGCACACACACTCTCTTCCGTATCTCATGGTCTATAGATGGTATAGACCAATACCATCTCATCGTCTGTAGGCTATACAATATTTATCCCCCTCCTCCTGGAAATGCCATGTTAAACCTCCCAGCCATATGTGTCCGGGGCCACATACACTGAAGGATCATTCATGAGTGCCTCATACCATGAAAAATCGACACAAATTCTGAGTCACATATCCAAACCATGCTTGCGTCAATCAGCAACATTGCTCCTTTATGCTCCATTTGTCTCGCGGAAAAATTGATGATTTGAAAAATATTTTTCTAAAAATAATCGCTTATATCGCTTTAAATAATTAGTCAATTAATAAATGTTTTCATCATCGACAACAATTTATGTCTAAATATTTTCGAGGACGATGAAAATATTTTTCGTTCGTTTAATTTTGTAAGCAATGGAAACGATCATATTCATAAAAATATTTTTCAAATAATTCATTTTCCGTGAAATAAACACAACCTTAGAATTACTT